CCTTTTGATGGCTGCTTAGCACCGAGCTGATGTTTTTACTGAACTGTCCACAACAATTCCCAGATCTCTTTCTTCTGTAGCAGCAGTTAATGTCGAGCACATCACAGTGTAGGTACAATTTGGGCTATTTTTGCTTGACCCTTACCTACATGGACTTCCATCTGCCACGTTGTTGCCCATTCACGCCAGCATGCCAGATCCTTCTGTAGATCCTCACAGTCCACCTGGATCTGTACACTTTGAATAATTTTGTGTCATCAGCAAATATGGCCACTTTGCTACTCACCCCCTTTTCCAGGTCATGTATGAATATGTTAAAAAGCACTGGTCCCTGGGGGACCCCACTGTTTACGTCTTTCCATCTTGAAAACTGACCATTTTTACTCACTCCTTGCTTTCTATCTTTGAGCCAGTTTCTAATACAACAGTGGACGTTCCCTGTAATCCCATGATTATCTAATTTAGTTAAGAGCCTCTGATGGATGACCTTGTCAAAGGCATTTTGGACATTCGAATACACAATGTCAACTGGATTGCCCCTATCCAACAGCTTATTGACACCCTCCAAGAGCTGCGATAGGTTGGTGAGGCATTTGGGACCCCAAAGAAGTTGTCAAGTATTTGCACATACTGTGTGAGGGTGGGGGAAGGTGCATGTGTTGTGCAGGGCTTAGGTCATGCTGAACTATGGCTTCGTTTCACCGAAGAACTTCAGCGTCAGCCAGGCAGAAGGAGCAGAAGCACATTTTTTTTTTTCCTTTTGTGAATGAAGGAGAGAAAAGCCACCTTCTGCCTTCAGTGTTTTTCTGTGTGTTGGTTGGAGCCTCAGAGCCTGGCCTGCGCCCCAGCATGGTCCAGAGCATTTCTCCGTTGTATTTTGAATCGTGCTGCTTGTGTAGGAGTGGGAAGCATGGGTGTGCTTCTTCTCAGCAGGTGACTTGCCTCTGCGAGGGAAAGTGCCGTGATGCTTCTCTCCTGGTCGAGGTGGGGATGGCCCCTGCCTTGTCCCTTGGGGCTCTGCACATTGCTCCCTTCAAACTTGCTTTCATCTCGTGCCCAAGCGCCCTTTCCACCCCAACCAGTGAGTCAGTCTTGAAATGCCAAGTCATAGACACGCGGGTCTAGAAGTCTCTGTGCCCTGAAAGCGGATAAATCTTCTGGCATTTCAAGCCTCCATGAGTTGTCTTTGGCCTTTGTATCTCTTGGTTTCTGGCCCCTGCAGGCATTGAATATTTGGGCCCCAAACAGTTTAACTCTTGCCTCATTTTCTGAGGTCTACAAGGGCATCGTTGTCATTAGCATCTCATGTCCCATCGTCAACTGCCTGGGCTCCATCGTGCTAGACCCTGCAGAGACCGCATGGGAGTCCTTCAGCTCTGCATTCAAGTTGAGAAGAGTGGGAGAAACAAGAAATGGTCCCCCACATACCGATGGAAGTGGCATTTCATCTATGGCCGGGTGACGTAGGCACAGAGGGTTTGCGTCCCTCGCGTAGCTTCTCGTTCCTTGGCCGCCTCGGCTGTGGGCTTCGGATTCGGTGCCAATTCATTCCAACCACCGGAGACATGGCTGAAATCATCCCTCGCGGATCCTGCCTCCCCCTGGGTTGAAGAGCTGTCTCTATTAGTCACCAGGCACGTAAGAGACAGAAGCGCGCAGTGAGCTGACCCACTTGTTGGGAGAAGGTGGTGGGGGTGGATTTAGCTTTTGTGTGTGGGTTTTTTTAATTCTCTATTCAGAAATGAGCTCCCTCTAGTCATGCTGACAATTGTACATGATTGACCTTGGCAAATTGTTATGAGGGGGCTTTAATTTTCCAAGTGATAATCATTAGGTGTCTCGCACACGTCAGCCTTGCTTGGGCAGGTCTGAAGATGCTGGGTTGGTTTTGTTTTTGTTTTTTTCCTCTCTGTGAACAAGACCCATCCTAGCACAAAACATCCTGACAAGTGGAGCATTTTCTGCCTGCCGTGAGCCCCACTGGGCAAACTTCCCAATGCTTGTGAAACCAAAGAAGAAAGAGCGAGATGCATTGCAGAAACTGGAGAGATACAAATCTATGTGCTTTGGAAGGGAAATTATTTTGGAGCTCAAAGATGGAAAGGTCTGATCCTCTGCTGACTGCAGGGACGAATGATCACAGTCGCTGGTGCTGGAAGTTGCAGCTGCCCTGAGCTGTGAGAGTGGCTGTGCATCAGTCACGGGGCCCTGAGCGAGCTGTCCCTAGACTTCACCTGGTGTGTGTCCGATGGAGCCAGGCGGCAGGGATGCAGTGCTGGGCCATCAGCTGACAGGGCTGGCGCAGCCAGGAGGAAGTGTTGTGCCAGGAGGGCAAGTCCTGCAGCGTGGGAGGGACTCGGAAGGCATTGATGCCAATTCTCCCAGGGCTGCTTCCTTTTGGTCCTTCCTCCTAAATGCAACTTTATGTTGTCTTTGCACTTCCCAGGCAGCTCCCAGAGTGCTTTGCAGCTGCTAATTCTAACCCTCCCTGTAAGGAAATTCGGTATGTTCCCCATTTAACAGGTGGGGAAACTGAGGCACAGGGTGGGGCTGTGACATGGGAGTGGAGGGCAAAGGAGGGGGCTAGCACCTCTCAGTAATCATCACCCTGAACCTCCTTTCCTGGCACTGAAGGTGTGGGAGGCCGAGAAGTCCCGCCACACTGGCTTGGGGAGCTCACAGCATCTCCAAGGCTGGGCTTCATCATTCATTGAGCTGCAGCATCTGCTTTGTGGCTCTTCTCCACCTCCTTCCTATTAGATGCCTCATGAGCATAATTGGATTTCATGCAACCCTGCATGCTCACTCCCAAGGAGCACCAGAGAGGGCAGGTGTAAAGCCAGCTCCCAGAGAAGCTGGCTTGGAAATGGGGGTGACAGGGAGCCTCTCATCCAGACAGCCCGAGGGTGACACAAGATAGCAGTCACCCTTTGCTGGGCCAGGATGAAAAGCATTGAATTGTTTTGAACCTAATAAATGAAACGAGCTGGGGGCTGAGCCTGATTTATCTCTGCCCCTCCCCATCTTTTCTCTGCATCTGCTTGAATCACTGCTTGGAGCACTGAATCTGCTTCGGGGGAAACTGTGCTCTGTGGAGTGCTAGAAGTGAACCGTGAGCAGCAAGCACGTATGTGTGTGCGTGCGTGAGAGAGATGCCTTCCCAGATTCAGCACTGCCTTTGAAAAGGCAGGTAACACCATGTACGCAGAACAGGACCTTAAGAAGTACAAAGCATGGTGGAGAGTGGAAGTGGGGTATTTGGGTATTTCAGAGTTAACATTGATTAATTCAGAGTTAAAGTTGCATTTAGGAAGAATCCAAACTTGCCGGCATATGGGAATGCACTGCAGAGCCTTTAAAAAGACTTTGACTCTGCCTGGCAGTGAAGCTGTGAAAAGAGGGAAAAAAAAAAAGGTCTAGGACCATGAAGACCAAAATGTCTTAATTGGAGTCGTACAGGGACAGCTAGCTGTGTCAGGCAGAAGGCAGGGGAGAGGCACTGTAGAGACTAACTGGTTCAGAGAGGTTTGAGCTTTCATAGACAAGGACCTACTTTCGTACAGTGATTACAGGTGTTGCTACAAGGTAAGGGCCAAACTGCAGTTCACTGGCCACCTGCAGCATGCGGTAGCATGCTAGCTGGTCCGAGCCTCCTGGAGCCATCTGCACAGCCTGTAGTACCCTGCTAGTGAACCCAAGCAATGGCCCAGCTGAGGGAGAATGCCTGACCCGCAGGCTACCTTTTAAGTGTTTCTGGGGCAGCCAGGAAGGGCCAGACCCCAGGACGGTGTGTGTAGACTCTGGATGGGATAAGAACTAGACCTGTCTGTGCTGCCTTTGCTTCTGCCTGCGTGCGCAAGTGTCAGCCTGATTGATTTCCAAATGGATGATCGTGAATAATGAGACATCAGGGCTCTCCAAGCATGTTGGAGCCAGGTTGGAGGGAACCTGCGTTCCAGCTCAGAGACCAGTTATTCATGAAGGGGGGTTCTCTCTGGTGAGGTGGACCAGCTGGAGATGGTGGTGGGGGAAAGATAAGCTGGGGGGTAGCAGTGGGAAACCTGCTGGGCCCGGGTGGCCTTGGCTGCTGTCTTTTCTCACACCCATCCGGAGCTAGTCTCTGTCGTGCAGGAGTTGCTCCTCTGCCGGAGCCGGGCATTCCACCCAACCTTCCACTTTGTGACTGCAGATTTATGGCCCTAATGATTTGGCTTCCAACCTACATGACAGCCTCCTTCTAATTAACTGAACCGAAATGTGTGCGTGCCAGGAACGTGTCACAGGCAATGCACACAGAGTTCAACACTGATTGCATTGCATTGCTATGCAAATAGCGCCTCTGTCCACGGGAGGCGAATCGCTGACATCTGAGTGGATGGGCTAGTTTTCGGGGCAGCACGTGACCTGGAACTGGTCAGATCCGTCTCAAACAGGAGGGCATGAAGAGCTATAAATTGTATTGAACTGGACTGGGTAGCCCAGCTGAAGGTGCCTCCTAGCTAAATGCTGCTTAGTTGACTATACCTTGTCTAGGCTAAGGCCTCCTGAGGCTTTCTTCAACATTTTCCCTTCTTTGTCCCTGCCTGTCTCTCTAAACCAGTAATTCCTAGCCAGGGTGTTGTGAGTTGTTGTTGCTCTATTATTTTCCTGTAGTCAAAACCTGAATGAAAACTTAAGAGCTGGCATTTTCTAAGGGTGCCTCGAGTTTACTGGGGGGTGTACCTTGAGTCTAAAAAGGGTGCTTTCAATTGTCCTGCATGCTGCCCAGTTGGATGGTGGCTCCCTGCTAGACCACACAGTTGTGGCACGGATTGGCCACGCGGCCTGTTAGCATTTTCCAAAAAGGTAAGAGAGCAGAGGGGTATCCCCTTATGGAAAGAGAGATAATCCAGTACCTTCAATACGCTGCTGCACTCCAGGTGGTTTTAATGAACTCTGCTGTGCTTGCGTGCCACAGCCACATGCCTGTCACTGAAAGCTTTCCCTGCTTGGTTCAACAGGTGAAGCAGATCATGGAGGAGGCAGTGACGAGGAAGTTTGTGCACGAGGACAGCAGCCACATCATCTCCTTCTGCGGTAAGGTGACGCAAAGAGATGGGCTTTGAGAAGCTGCCGGCCCTGGCATGCTGTCCACGCTGGGCTGTTGCTGCATCACACTATTGCTCTGATGGGCAGCTCCCTCCTGATGGTACCATGTGCTGAGACCAGGGAGCTGCAGCATCCCTGGGGAGGAGTCATGTGGTTAGCACGTTGTGTTCCTCATTGAATGTGGACTCGGGTTGTGACACCCCGGGCCCTGGCAGTTCAGCAAACCACGTGCCTTAATATTGAGTCCCTCTCACTTGTTTGAGAAGGGATTAAACCAGCTGCTTATGTGACAGGTGAACCTCTGTGCTGTGAGGAGTCTCTGTAAATGAGCCAGTGCATGGGGGCAGCGCAAGCACAGGGAACAGGAGCGTGTTAAAAGGGTCTTCAAGCATTTTACATAGTGCTGGTGACCCCTGCAGTAGGCTTCATTCAGCCCCTTTTTCTGGCATGGGGTCTGACATCTGGTCTTGCACACGCTTCCTGCGTTGAATCTAAATAACATCTGCCTTTTTTCAGCAGTTAGTGACGGTTTCTAAGCTTGGAAAATGTGTTCCAGAGCTGGCCGAAGCAAGGCAGAGCCTTCATGCAGAGCTGGTTTGGCCTGGGTGTGAGAGGAGGACTGCAGATGGCAGGGAACAGCCCTCTGGGCCACACCATACTTCCGTCTGCTTTGCAGGGGCCAAGTGTGTCCATCTTGCTCCCCAGCTGCATGGCGTGAGGTCCTCCTGTGTCTCTTTGGGTGGGGGGAAGGTATCACTGGGGCAGCTTTTGGGGGTCCCGGCACAGCAAGGCACTCGGAGAAGCTGGGCTCCCCTCTGCTTGCTCCCTCTCCTGTCACAGGCCACTTGCGTCTCCTGCAGGCGGCTGACCCCTCCCCAGGAAGCTGCTCCCTCCACCCACTCTCCAGAGCACACACAGCTACTCACCTGCTTCACGGATGAGTCTCTGGCTGCCACCTGCTGCCGTGTCTGTGACAACATGTGCTGGCCAGAGCGGGCCACCTGCTGAGCAGCGCAGTGCCAGGGAGCCAGTGTGCAAAGCTGCCGTCTGGCTCCAGCTCCATCCATCAGCTCTCCCCTCTGTGTGCACTGCTGCTCCATCTCCATTCCCAGGCCAGGCCTTGCTCTGCATGGGCTCCCTGGATCCCAGCAGGATGAGGTCCCAACACCTTGGCTGAGAATCACTGCTGGAGGATGCAAAGAGGGGGAACCGTGCCACCTCCATCTCTGCTTTGGAAGGCAGTTAGGAGCTGCTTCGTGCCCTTTCTCCCTGGTCCTGGGATGAAAGGCAGGCGGGCGCGTGTCCCAGGCCTCTGTGTCTCCTCACATCGTTAGCTGAGTGGCGTCAAAAGAGCAGAGCTAACTTGGAGGCGTGACTCACTCTCTGCTTTCTGTACAGTGCAGGCTTCGCAGCCTGGGATTATTTATAGTGCTTTGTGCCAGGCGAGGAGCTGGGCTTGCTGGTTACCACTCAGCCTCCCTAATGATGCCACTGGGTTTTTTTTCCAGTGGTTTCTGGGTATCTGCAGCTTATTGCCTGTCATCACAATTGGATCTGAGCAGCCTACACAGCTCTCTGAGTGCCTTGGCAGCAATGAGCTTCATAAAGGACATCACCATCCTCATAAGCAGCTTGCCTCTCACGGTTTGCTGGGACCTGCATGGTGCTGCCTTTTGCCCCTGGGCAGGCCTCTCGCCTTCAGCCCTTGTAACCCAAGCTCACCCATTCCCCATCCTCCTCCTCCTGTTCAGTAAAGTACCAGGCTCCTCTAACAGATTGCTTGGTTTGGCAGGAAAGGCAGCTGACCCCAAAAGTCCAATTTAGCTGATTACAGAGCTGAAAGGTTTGGGGAAAACAAATGCACGTTGACACTTCTTAAGGTCATGCTCCCTCTGCAAGCTGACATGGCAGCTGCCTTTGCTGTGTTCCTCCTGCTGCCTAGCACTGAACTTTGCCTTGACTCTTAACAGCAGAGCGATTCAAATGGCGGCGTGCACCTCCATGGAAGTACCAGTAGTGTTGCACCAGGAATAAAATAATCTTAATCCCCTAGGCACAGATGGGCAAAACGCCACTCTCTTGTTTCATTATCCACCCACGCTGAATATAATCTGCAGATGTGTGCTTGGAAACATACCTGGCACTTACTGCACTCTGCAATTCCATTTAGAGAGAGAAAGTGCAGCACATTGTCTAGGTGACTTCTGCTATTGCCAGCCCCAGATATTCAAAATCATGCAGTGAGCCTAAAAAAAAAAAAATCCACTAGGAAAGTCATGTATTTGAGCCTTTTGCAGGACACGCTTGGCGCATGGTTACGAACCTTTCTCCACGTGTGTGAGGACTAGACACTTCTTTGTCAGGGGACGCTGTGATTCCCCTGAAATTCTGTTTCCAGGAGCTCAGACTTGAAGAAAAACAGCAGGTGTTACAGAGAGGCCTTATGAAAGTGAGAGCTCCCTGGACTTTGAGCATAATGGAAGTGTTTTCTCCCCCAGCCATGGGGAGCTGGGCTATGCTTTCAGAAGGAATGGCCTCCAGTGATTCCTGCAGGAATCGAATTGCTCGTGTGTTTGGGGTGGTGGCAAGCTACAGAAACCTCAGCAACGTGACAGGTGTGCGATGCTGAGCCCTCCTGGGACTGCTCCTCCTCTGGGCTGCTGGGAGAGCCAGAAAGGAGGATGGGCCTCACTCTTCATCCTTCTCAGAACTGCAGGATGCCAGCAGAGGATGGGAGCAGTGTCAGCCAGAGGCGTGGGGAGCTGCATGCAGCCAGCCCAGCTGCTTGCAGTTCCTGGGACCGGGAGGAGGTGGTGGTCTAGTGCAGCATTGCATGTTCTCGAGCACCATTTAGTGGCACACGATCCTAGCCTGCAGGCCACTCCTGGGCTAGGAAGGGGCAGATGCTGCAGCCTCCAGTAGGCTGGGGAGGGAGCTGGGGAGATCTGCGCTGCCCCTGGGCTGACTGTCTTGGGTGCGCAGGCATCCAGCTGTGCATTCCCGCCATACGCAGGCACCATTTTGCCACGTCAGCAGCATGCCTGTGACCGTGTGTGCTTGACTTCCAGCATCCAGCTGGCCCTAGATAAGGAGCTGACTGGCGGTATAATTGATGTGACAACTAGTGACCTGCCAGAGCCAAAAATAATGCAAGACCAGTGTTGCTAATTCACTCCCTCCAGCCTGTTGGGTGCCTGGCTGCTTACGGTGCCGTGGACCTGGCTGTGCTTCAGAGAGCAAGCTGCAGTGCTTCAGAGAGCAAGGAGGAGATGAATGAATGCATGGCTGGTGTCGGCTGTCTGCCATCAGGCAGGAGGGTGCGAGTTTGCTGTGGCAGGAACTAGTCTGGCTTCATCAGTGGAGGGATGAAGGAGAAAGAGGTGCCAGCCCCCCCTTCCAGCCAGTGCAGTAGTGCCCCACAAACACTTGTGCTTCCAGCAATGTCTCTCATGTCTCAGGTTGGTTTTACTTGGGCGGGGGGAGTAAGATACATTGCCTTGAGTTTCGAAGTGGTTGCTCTGATGTTCCCCAATGTCCCACTTCACTTTACATCCTAGCTTTGTAGCTTTCACAGCCCACGTGCTGGTTGAGTCAGGTTCTCTCCCTGTGCCTCAAGGCTGGCGTTTGCAAGGCAGCGTATTACAGGAGGGGCATGCAGTGGGCAACAGCAGTATACGTGAGCATACAGGGAAGAGTCACTACTGCACGTTAGCACACATAGTGTTGTCTGTGAGCCTGTCTGGGGAGCACTGCAGGCCCTTGCAGACTGCCCTGCTCACAGCAGTGGAGGGACAGATGCCCTGCTGCTGTAAACTGTGGTGCAAATCCCAGCCTGGGCAGACTGGGCCATTTGGTGTGTGGTCACTGTGTTTGTCAGCGTCTTGGTGTGAAGGAGGGGTGCTGCCTGTGGCTTCCCCCGGTTAGGTGGAATTGCTGGTAACTCTTACCTGCATCCTCATGGGGTGCTGGCAGGTCGACCTGTAGCTGCATGGAGCCATCAGGCCCTGGTGCATACGATACTGCTGCACTCCCTTTGTCAGGCCCCTGCTCTCCCCTCTGTCAAAGCTGTGATGAGGCAGGCGCTGAGGTGCCCTTGCACATCTGTTTAACTGAACCACCCAGGGCAGGAGCTCCCTGTAACAGCCTGTAGCCTCATGCTTTAAAAACCAGAGCTGAGGGCTTTGCTTGCGAGCTCTCTGCAGCAGGGAGCGGTGGTTCAGCTGTGGCGTGGCACACGTTCTGCAGAGCTGGCCTCGGGTAAGACGAGCCCTGGGTAATAGAGTGGCTCACGGGGCTGGCGTGGGGCAGCAGAGCCACCTCTGTCGCTTGTCCGGTTGCCTTTAGGTTCCCGGGTAGATTGCAGACAAGTGCCCAGAAGACATGTTGGGCGGAGAGCTGTGTGTCCATGCTGCCTTGATCTCTTAGAGCCTGTCTGCTCCCCAAGCCAGGCAAACCTGTCAGACTTATTCTGCACCCTGGGACGTCTGGCCACCGCACTGAAGTAGGCAAAAGCCAAACAGCAAGGCAGCGCCTGCTCCCAGCACACTCTGGACGCTGCAGCACGTCTGTGCTGGAGGAGAGTTTGTGCCTCATTTAGATCCCAGGAAGCCGTGTCGCTGCCCTGCATGGGTGTCTCGGGTGACTGGGACCTTGGCTGGCCACCAGCGCGCGGCTTCCACCCGTCCAGTCACAGCCAGAGCCGCGTCCAGTTGTGAGTGCCCCGAGCAGCCCTGGGAACCAGTGTGTACACCTCTCCAGTGTCCCCCAAAGACTCGCTGGGCTGCTGGAGACCTCACCTTCCGGGAGCAAAAGGAGCATAGGACTCTGCTCACCCTGCACAGCTTTCAGGGGCGGGAGCCATGTTTTTCCACCAGAGACCCCGTTCTACAGCACCAATACGGTTCCAGCACTGTGGGGCTGTATTGTTTTCCAGGGCTTGGATCACGGTGTATTGATACCACGTGTCCCTCTGGATCCTTCCTAAGAGACTCGGCCAAGGCAGCTGGCCATGGCATCGGCTGTTGCATGCATTTGTTCTGAGGCGTCGAGGGAGCGAAGCTTGTACGGTGGGGTGAGGCCTACACGCTCCTGTCCAGGGTCCTCCCATGAGTAGGGGTGCAGCAGGAACCGGCAGGTGGCCGAGGCTGCCTGGAGATTCGGGGCGACTTTAGTTAGCGGTTTGCATCCCCTTCCGGTAGCGCCAGAGGCTCAGGTGCTGCATGAAGCCTGGCCTGGAAAATGTATTGCCAGCTGCCATCTAGTCATCAGTTGTCTTGGTAACGGTAGTTGTTGAAGCCAAACTGAATTAGCAGCTCGGCCGTCTTTTCTGCGGGCTTGGTTTGTCTTGAGATTCATTTTTCTGCTGCTTGGCCTAAAGGAGAATCCCCGTTCTCAGGGTGGCCGTCTCGGCCGCTCCGGTTCTGCGTGCAAGCCAGCTCTGTCGGCTCCCCGCAGTCTCCCTGCCTCTGTTATCTTCAGGCTGCTCGTTCACTCCTCTTCCCAAGCTCTCTGCTGCTGCCGACAGGCACCCAGGTCCCTGGTGCTGTTCTGGGCTTGGGCAGGGAGCCGGCCGTGAGCCTGGCTCTCCAAGGAGCGTCCCTGCTGTAGGGAGAGGCTGGGGTGCAAGAAGAATGGGAGGCAGGGAGTCGGGCCAGCCAGGCCGGGGAGGGGTTGTTCTCGGGCTTGTGGGTGCGTCGGGTCACTGCTGCGCTTTATTGCAGCGGCCGTGGAGGCCTGCGTGCTGTACGGGCTGAAGAGGCGAGCGGCGGGCGTCCTGCGCAGCAACAAGATAGCCGCCCTCTTCATGAAGGTGGGCAAGAGCTTCCCGCTGGCCGAAGAGCTTTGCCGGAAGGTACAAGACCTGGAGCAGCTCATCGAGACCGCGTGAGGCTCTTGCTTGTTACTGCACCGTCTCGCGTGCTGCCGGGGTCTTGGGGAGGGTGAGGGGCGTGGATCTGGGCTGTGACATTCAAACTCAGGGAGTCTCAAATACAGTGGCACGTGGTCTTTTGGTAATGTACGGGTGAGCAGGAGCCACGAGTGTCGCCAGGTGCCCAGCTGCAGGCACCTGAGTTTGGAAACCATGGCCCAGGAGGACCATTTTGAAGGACGCCCAAAGATGCATGTATGTGCAGGCTTCAATGCAGCCCTGTTCTTTGGGGCAGTTTTGCCCCTTCTGGGTAAAACCCTCCTAGGCTGCCTTGAAAACAGGGCTTGGGACTCTAAATCCCTTTGGCTGGAAAGGGAACTTTGCCCAAGCCTTGTGGAAGTCTAATTCCTCTGGGACTTCAGCACTTGCTTCAGAGCTTTGCTGGATTGTGTCCTCATTTCCAGCACCTTTGTGCTAGGTTTCATCTCCACAATATTGGAAATGAAAGTCAGATCCTGGCTCTCACCCCAGCCTCCTCAGGGCAGAGGGGGTGCAAGGAAGAGGGCAAGAGCTGTGCCCCTGGGTAGTGGCTCCCATGCAGAGGTGGGCTTTTATAGACCCGTAGAATAGCAGGGCTGGAAGGGACTTCGAGAAGTCATCCAGTCCAGCACCCTGTTCACAGCAGGAGCGTCCTTATCTAGCTACCTGCCTGTTAGAGTTATATGCTGGCCTTCCCCACAAAGGCTCTGGGTGGCTTGCAATAAGAGACAGACAGCTGGACTAGAATATGAAGCAAAAGCTCCTTAAACAGAGTCCCGGCTTATAGCTGTTTAGAGCATGCTAGGCAGAAGTATGTCTCGCCTATTCTTAAATGTTACGACCCTGTTGTACAACTACCAGGCCTCGTGTCCAAAAGAGCACCTTACCCTGACCTAGGTAAAGCTGGGGGATGAGAGCACTGTCAGCAAAGCAGACAGTAGTTTAATAAATACACCCAAGAGAGCCAAAGAAGTACGAGCACTGCCTGGTAGCCAGCCAAGGAGAGGCCTGCCCTTAGGGAGGGGCTGGAGCACGTGCCCCATGCTGCTGTCTGGTTAATTCGTTTGTGCTGTCCTCTGCCCTGCCTGCCTGCAGGCGAAACCAAGTGCAAGGCCTCCAGGAGAATGCACGCAAGGTGCCGAAGCTGCCGAACCTGTCCCCGCAGGCCATCAAGCACCTCTGGATTCGCACGGCCCTCTTCGAGAAGGTCCTGGACAAGATTGTGCATTACCTGGTTGAGAACAGCAGGTGAGTGCAGGTGGGAGGGGGGGGGGGGGGGGGGGGGGGGGGGGGGTGGGGGCTGCCCATGAGCTGTTCCCCATCTGGGCCTGTTGTAAAGTCACAGTCCCTGGACTGAGCTGCATGCATTCCTGGCTTAGCAATCCTCCAGGGCAGTGATCCACAGGACCAGCACAAAGCATGCTCCTCCTCTCCCAGCTCAGTGCGCAGCCCTGGATTTCAAACTCTGGCCCTGCTGTCCACCGAGTTTCAGGTGTCCTGGTGATGCTGCTAAGCTGGCAGAGATGGGTCTTGTGTCTCACCATCTCTATCTGCTACCGGGCTGGCAGAATTCTGCTAGCCTGTGTGTCCTTCTACTGTTGCAGAGCTCGTGTCAGGGACCTGCCTGTCCTGGGCATCTCTGGCACAAGCGGCATGCCAGCGGCATGCTGGGGGGTCCCCACTTGTGGTTCTCTGCAGTGGCTTGGCTGAGGCCAGGCAGAGGCTGCTGCAGAGGGTGGAGGTAGGAGCTGGAAGAGGATTTCCGACTGCCTTGCTGCTGCGGGGCAGTACGACAGCCCGTTATGGCCACTCGTCCTTTCTCACCAGCCATGAGGGGTGCAGGAGGGACAGGGCAACAGCCTTCTCTGCCACGTAACTCTTCCATCAGAGTGTAATTCTCTTCTGCGATTTGTTCCCTCCAGTAAATATTATGAGAAAGAAGCCCTCCTGATGGACCCCGTAGATGGACCGATTCTTGCTTCTCTGCTGGGTAACATTTATGCTCTTCACCTGCTCTCTTAGTTGACTTTCCAGACAGATGCTCCCCATAGTCAGTGTGTAGGGCTTTTACTACATCTTACTAGGGCTCGCCTTGGGTGGGACAGGCCTGTGCAACTGCTCAGGTGCTGGTAGCAAACTCCAAATACTTCCCAGCGGAGGCCATGCCAAACTGCCTTTCGGGCTGTTGAAATGCAGACCGTGAAATCATCTTTCAGGCTGCATTGCAAGCCTCGTGTTAAACAGAGCTGAAGAGCGCTGCCCACGGCGGACAGCCCCAGAATGGCTTTGCCTGTCAGTTCGCTCCTGGGATTGCGTGCGACCTGCTAGGTATCCCCACCCTGCATGGCTGGTTGGTAACCCACGAGCCAGGCTGAGGGAGGGCCAGTGCATGGCTGCGCAGTCACAGGCCAGGACCCAGTTGAGTCCCCCTCTGTTTCCTGTTGCCTTCTTGATCCAGGCAGATAGTGGCTGCAGATTCCTCCCAGCTCCAGGCAGTCTCTGGTGTAGGGACGGGGCTTTGGGAGCTCTGGTTGCAATGCTGCCACCCAGTGCCGACAGGTGCAGTGTGGGCAGACCCATGGCTGGCTTGGCCAGAAGCCTGGCTCCTCTGCCTGGGCACCAAGCAGGGGGCGTGTTTGAACCCACCGTGCATGCTGTTCTAATATCATGGGACTGGATGAAGCTCTGCTACTTTCTTCAGGGCTGAGGGTGTGTCCCCATCGTTGCCAATGCTCACTGATAGTCTGGGGACAATACAAGAGCCTGCTTTGAGCCTTGTGTTCAGCCTGTGCACACATCCTGTGCACCCGGGTCTAGAAATGCGCTCTGTGGCTGGGAGATGGATGTGGTCCGTAGCTCTCAGGCGGCAGCTGAGTTCTTGCTCCTCTCCCTGTGCAGTGGGGCCGTGCGCGCTAGAATACACCAAGATGAAGACAGCTGATCACTTCTGGACTGACCCCTCTGCCGATGAGCTGGTGCAGAGGCACCGGATTCACAGCTCGCACTGCCGCCAGGACTCCCCCACCAAGCGCCCTGCCCTCTGTGTGAGTTGGGGGGCCAGGGGTGTAAGGGTGAGAGAGGAAGCCTCGCTGGTTTGAAAAGTGCTTTGAGATCCTTGCATGGCAGGGGCTAGAGAAGTGCAGGGTGATGGCCTTGGTGGGGATGTTGGAGCCCCAGAACATGGGCTAGTGGGGCAAGAATGGAGCCTGGCATTTTGGGGACAGGCGGTGGCTCTGAACTGTGAAGGAAGGCAGCTGCAGGTGACTGCAATCAGTGCAAGTTTTGTACAGCCCTGAGTGGCTCCCAGCACACAGCCAGCTATGGCCAGTGTCAAACTGGTGGCCTAGAGTGAGAGTCCCAAATTACAGTCTGCAGGAGCTGAGGGGCCATGGCAGGTGGTGAGGAGCTGGTCCATGAGCACACCAGGCATCCTGCCTTTTCAGTTCAAAGTCCAGGGGCTGTGACAGCTTGCTGGGAAAGTCGAGGGTCCTAGAAGCTTGGAAAGCGCTGACCTAGGGGACAAAGAGAGATGACAGTGTTGCATGATGGCCCACAAGCCACTTTGGACAGGCGAGCTTATGAAGAAAGAGGTCTTTCAAGGGCAGGGGGAGGAGGAGGAGAGGACCTGCTCCCACAAGCCCTCCTTTTCCAGATTCAGAAGAGGCATTCGAGCGGCAGCATGGACGACCGGCTTTCATTGTCAGCCAGGGACTACGTGGAGTCGCTGCACCAGAACTCCAGGGCCACCCTCCTGTATGGCAAGAACAATGTCAGGGTGCAGCCGGTAAGCAGCACAGGCACCCCGGAAAGGGAAGGGGCTGGTGGGGGCTGATGTGGAAAAGGCCTCCAAACTGCTCTGTCTAGGGGGCATCGCCTCTGCCTCTCTAGTTGGGGCCGGCTCTTCCAACAGTTCCACCCATTCAGGCCATGCTGGAGGAGGGGACTGTCCTTAGAGCGAGATTTGAGGCTTGCAAGTGATCTAGAAAAGTAGGACTCTGTTACTTCAAAACAGCAGCTCTGGAGCTGAGGTCTTGGGGTGCAGCTTGCCCTTCCTGGAGTCATAGTGCTGAGTCTTGAGCCTGGCGCATCACTGAGCTGGGCCCAACAGACACAGCTCTGTCCTCCTGGACCACCCAAACTGTGTGGAGGCTGAGGTCCTGCCAGCCCATGGGGGCACTTCACCGATTGGCATGAGTGCGCTCTGCAGAGTCACTGACACGGGGAGAGGGAGTGCTTCCTTAGCACTGCTGTCTTGCTCTCGAGCTTGCTCCTTGGGCAGCTCTGCGACCTCAAAGCAGGGAGATCAAGCTGCTGTGTGGAGCTGTGGCAGTGAGTCTCAGCTGGCCTGGCACCTCGGACCCAGCGTATGTGTTGGTCTGCCCCGATGGCAGCAGCATTTTGTGGGGTGTGTCTGTATTGCATAAAGTGTTTTGCACTCGCCTCTCTGCTGCATTGGATTGAGGCGTGAAGGGTTTCAAGGGCATCAGGCACAGCTGCGGTACAGTACGTGATTGTGGTGTGGCTCAGACGGTTCCTTCCTCAGCCTGTGACCCCCACCCTTGCCATCCTGAAAGGCCATTTCTTCCCCTTCTCTTCCTCCAGCGAGATGACATGGAGGCAATCCCAGGGTACCTGTCCCTGCACCAAACAGCAGACATCATGACACTGAAGTGGACTCCCAACCAGCTCATGAATGGCTCTGTGGGAGACCTGGACTACGAGAAAAGGTGACTTGCTGGAAGGGCAGGACCCAGCCAGCACCCGGGTGAGGAGAGAGGGGAAAAGGAAATGTCCTGCTAGGTGCCCCTCCAGGACCCAGCCTTTCCTGGACTTCGCTGGACTATTGAGCGGAGGTGGCTGGATTGCCTCTGCTCTCAAAGAACTGCAGCTTAGTGTAGAGGAGGAACAGCTCCCCTTCCAGCCCCGCTGGGGGAATCTGGTTCCAGCTATGTGCTGGTCTCTGCTGGAGTCCATCCAGGAAGGGCTCCCCTGGCTGAGTGGCCGTCATCCAGGAGTTGAAGGCAGTAGCAGAGGGAGAGCAGGAAGGAGACTGGGGAGAGTGCAGGGGAGGGATGAGCTGTGGGGGGCAGAGAGGAGAGGCTGAGGCATCTGTCTCCATGGGGCTGTGCCCCAGCACATTGGGTGAGCGGCTGTGCCCTGGCCATGGGTGATGGTTTGCTCTGTCCAAGAGAGTCCTGGTGGAGCAGACCTGGAGTGCACCGAGCCTGGCCCCTCGTGTCACTGCCAGCGTTAGTCTGGGGGGTTTCAAGCAGATACACGGGGCAGGTGTCTAGGGAGAGGAGGCAATAGCTGGAGCAGCCCGCTCAGGGCAGCGGTAGAAAGGCTGAGGCACATCGGGACTCACCTGGCCTTGGGACAGG